AGTAGCTTCTTGTTCCTAGTAGTAAGGCCAGGAGCCCCTAGTAGCATCCTTGCTCCTAGTAGTACCGCCAGGAGCCCCTAGTAGCTTCTTGTTCCTAGTAGTAAGGCCAGGAGCCCCTCCTAGTAGTACGGCCAGGAGCCCCTAGTAGCATCCTTGCTCCTAGTAGTACGACCAGGAGCCCCTAGTAGCTTCTTGTTCCTAGTAGTAAGGCCAGGAGCCCCTAGTAGCATCCTGGCTCCTAGTAGTACGGCCAGGAACCCTAGTAGCTTCTTGTTCCTAGTAGTAAGGCCAGGAGCCCCTAGTAGCATCCTTGCTCCTAGTAGTACGGCCAGGAGCCTTAGTAGCTTCTTGTTCCTAGTAGTAAGGCCAGGAGCCCCTAGTAGCATCCTTGCTCCTAGTAGGGCCAGAAGCCCCTAGTAGCTTCTTGTTCCTAGTAGTAAGGCCAGGAGCCCCTAGTAGCATCCTTTCTCCTAGTAGTACGGCCAGGAGGCCCTAGTAGCTTCTTGTTCCTAGTAGTAAGGCCAGGAGCCCCTAGTAGCATCCTTGCTCCTAGTAGCGATGAGTGCCTTTTTTTTCTTACGCAGTAGGCCCACTTTGAGAAACCCCCATTTTCGATGCCTCTCGGACCCAACTCGTCTCCACTTGCCTCTCGCTGCAGGGCTCTTGGAGCAATCCTCGGTGCTCAACCGGTCTTCGTTCTCCCCGCCGTTTTCGACGGCCCAGGCCACCGGACTGTGTCGTCTCTAAGACTCCTGAGCCAAAACATATCCAAAGGAGGTGGCATGCATCTAGTGTCCCTGGTTGGGAGAAAACTGCGTGAAGCCATGACAGGTAGGATGGAGATGAAGTCTCCCCTGCTCCTTTCAGGTCTGAGTATTAGAGGGATACCGGATTCGAGGTGCGAAGTACTGCTCCTTCCACATGAATATGTATACCATATATATACACATATATATATATATTATGCAGTGACAAACATCAGCTTTTGCGAGCATACTTACTTGGGACCCCGCTTGACCCAGCAAAATGGGTCCCTGGTTTTCCGTTTTCTCTTTAACTCAAGGGACCCGAAGAACCGTTGGTGACCGTTGGTGACTCAAGCGATGGCCGCCCACCGACCAAGGTCCACCAAGGTCCACCAATGTTGGACCGCTAGTGGGAATCGACTAAGTCTAAGGCCAGTGGCCGCACCGCAGAACTTGCTCATCACGCATTATCTTCCTATTTCAATATATATATACAGTTATAAATGCACAATTATACACACGTATGCTAGTTCTCCTTAAGGTGTGAAGCATCTCTCCAAGACTCCAAGGTGCTTGCTCTATCATTGCACCGAACTCAGTTCTGTGGACCAAACCACACACCCTGCGCTCTCCGACCGGCCCAGCCTGGCGCTGCGTCACAAGGCCTTGGCTGCACCAAAAGCATATTTTTCAGTGAAGAGTCAGTGGCGGAAAGCAGTGGAAAACTTTGAGATCTACATACAGTACTGAATATTGCCCACTATGCAAATCTATGGAAGACGATTGCCCTACTGAATATTGGGCATTATGGCGCATGATGGATGCCTTGCATTTGCTTGGTTTGACCTCAATTATGTTGGTGGTGCTCACTAGCGGGCAAAACAGAATTCTTGGGTCCAGGCCAGATCTTGATGTTGACGCCTCTAGATTGGGGCGAGGAAAACACATACATGACCAAGTTTTCTTGAACATCACATACTTTGATCTGTTTGTTCGTCATTTTGATCATCTATCGCAGGAGAATAAGACATATCAAACAAACTCACACCCATCTTGAACACACAATACTTGGTTTTACGAAACTTCGGCAGAACCATCCACGGCAGGACTCTGGCCTCCGATGGTAGGATCAACTACCTTTGACCAAGCGTAGAATGTGTAGAGATCACCCGACGTTTCGACTTGGTAGAGTTCCTCCAATGGTTCCCACGATGAAGGCACCTCTTTTGGGGTTTCGTCGGTCGACTCTCGGGCTGACTCTTCGCCCACCTCGTGCTCGATTCTCGGGCTTGGAGGCGATGACGAACCTGGGAGGGGCTGTTCAGAGATGGCCCTTGCTTGACCCCAAACTGAAGAGAATTCAGAATGCCCCAGGACCGGTGGTGAAGCAACACCATGGTTGGGGGTTATGACCCACCCCTGTGCGATGGACTACGAGCACATTCTTGGGCAACACAAGGAAGCTTTCAAGCGGCCAAGACATCATGAGTCATGAGTCCTTGGCTATTCATTATTCATTGATGTTTATCCTGAGTCTACGAGCAAATAACTATACAAAGCACCAACACTTACATTTAATGCAGGTTTCTGTGAGAAGTTACATAGATGGACTCGAGGATTCCTCGAAAAAAGATGAAAAAAGCAGGCACAACTTATAACCTGGATTCCCCTTGTCCATTCTACTGCCTCACTGATTGGACGCCGTCCATCTTTTCGCCTGAAGAACTTCTTCAATGCTTCTCATGTTTGGCGCCCCGGCGCCCGTGCGGTGTCCTCATCACGGAAGATGAGCGCAGTTATCACGAAGCCGTCCTGTGAGCCGCGAGCCATCGAACAGGTGAGGGATAGCGGATAGTGAGGGTGGGAGAGTTTGGATGGGATCCTTTTTTCCCCAGATATCTGCAAGCTTTAGGGGCTCTTTCTTCTCAATGGTGTGGCTCTGGATCGGCGTTTCGTTTTGCCCGTGCTGGTGCTGGATCGGCGTTTGCTTGGGGCGGGCTGGTGCGGGTGCTGGATTGGGGCTTTGTGGGGGCGTGCTGGTGCGGGATGCTGCAGGTGCTGGTGCTGGATCTGTCATCCCAAACTATTGGACATTGGGATATTTTATGATATTTTCCCTCAGGCACTATGAGTTTTTTTCCCCATACACCCGCTATCTGGGGTCTATGCCGGTGTAATTTGATCTAGGATTAACTTTTATAGAATCTTTTAAAATGGACACTTTCATGGGATCCTCTTGAACCCTTTTTTTAAACATCTAGATTCTTTCCCATTTCGGAGTCTTGCTGAAAGGAAGGGCTCACCCACAAACCATTTCTGTCTCGCCCACAAAACATGCGTCTTCGCCGCTCGCGACCGGATCGCTCGCATCCTCCATCTCTAGGGTGCTTTCCAGGGTGGGCATTTCAAACCTGGGAGTCACAATCGAAGGACCTCCAGGGATCAATGGGGTGTGTTATACTTAAACGTGGCAGCGCAAAACCCTTTTCATCCGCTCGAGCCCTGCAGCTTCGATCGAGGGACCGTCGGCGGGGCGGCTCGGTTCCACACAATCCCCCTACGGTCCCGACCGGTCCGCTCGAGTCTGCTGCACATAGCGCCTTTTGCGCTCCGCGGCCTCCTGCCGCAACCGCCTGGCTTCAGCTGTATCCACCAGGCTCCAAAGGCCCTCTCGGAGGACCTGCAAAAGCACCCCGTTGTCGCTCCACTTCGTGAGCCCGTCACTCACCATCTCCTTGCCGGGCATCCACCGGACGAAGTTCTCTGCACCCTCCTCGATCAAGGCCTCGCGGAGGACGGCCGCATCGATGAGGATCTTTCGGTCGCTGGTCATGCTCTCCGAGGCCAGGACGTCGTAGCCGGTCTTGGCGTCAATCACCAAGTAATGCTTCCATCGGCTAGCGTACCATTTCCATCGCGGCAGGCTGAAGTCAGCATGGACGATCTCGGAGAGGACGGCCCTGACAAAGTCCCCATGCTCAAAGCTCTCCGCGGCCATCGACAGCTCCGCACTCATCGAACACCTCACCACCCGTTGGATCTTCATGCTCTGCGCCTCCACAATGCCCACCGGTGCCTTCTCTTCCAGCACATTGGGGTGTGCCAGCATGCACACAACTCCTCCCTGGGAGTGCCCTTTTGGCTGAGCCGCAAAGGCCGCATCGCTGGCGGAGATCACGATGAGGTCGTTCAGGTCGCACCCCAACTTTGGCAGCTTCACCACCACCTCCTTCTGAGCCCTCTGGATGAGCTTCGCTGTCCATTCCATAGCCTCTCTCTTCCCAGTGGCCACCAGCTGCTGGCAATGAGAGACCCCATAGCTCAGATCATATCTTCCTTGGCGAGCGGCCCAATTTACTTGTCCCAGGATGGAGCCGATCTTCACCCTCTCGCGTTCTGTGAGATCACCTTTCTTTGGGTCCCACTCCTCCTTCAGGATCTCCGGGATCTTGGCGATGTAGTCGGCCATCGTGTAGTAGAACTCCAAGGTCTCGGGGTCTTGCCGTTCATAGCGTCCGCAAAACTTCTGCCATCCCTCTCGAGCACGTCGATGCTGACCAAACTTCAGCCGCTCGTGCAACTTGTCCCAAATCTCCTTGGCGCTCTCATCCCCCGCGTAGCGGGTGTCATCCACATGGATGGTCACCACGGCCCTCAAACGGCCATCTGGGTGGTGTGCCACGAACATGCCGGGGATCAACTTCAACTCATGAAGGTCGATGCTCTTGAGGGTGGCCTTGTACTCCAGGTACCATAGTCGGGGGGACTCACATAGGCCGAACCCACCCTTCAGCAATCTCAAGAGGTCTCCCCGGCACTGAGTTCCCACCTTGCCGATGATGTGCTCGGTGACCGCCTGGGGGTAGCCCGTCGGAAGCCTGACATAGACCTCCCTCTCGGCTGGCAATGGTTGTCCCTGGAGGAAGGCGGCGGAGACGTCCTCATAGTGCACCTCCCACCCCATCTGCACCGCCACAAAGTTCAAGAGGTTGTGCCCCAGAAGGCTAGCCGTCGGAGCCAACGTGGGGTACTTTCCAGCCTCTGCATCTCGGTGTCCTCCAAGGATCCAACGAGCCTTGAGCTCTGCTTCTGCCAGGACCTCGCCACCCTTGTTGGTGAGCACAAACCTCGAGCTCAATATCTTCCGGGGGTCCACAATGGCGTCCTTGGCCACACCAGTGATGGCGTCATGGTCGAAGTAGACCTGCACAGCTTTGATCAACGGCTGCTCATAGGCCTTGCGCCAGTTATCATCCAGCTGTCGCCACTGGTATTCCACTCTGAGCTTCCCGGTCACCAGCTGGGCCTCAAAGACCGCCTTGCTCTCCTCGGCTGCCAAGCTCTCACCCTTCTCGATCACCTGCATGAGCTTTGGGTCCTCCGCCTCCTCAGCCTCCCATAGCAGGGCATGGGTCTCGATCTCCGACCATAGTACGCCATAGTCCACCTTCTCGCCCTCGATGAACTCCTCCACATAGTGAGTCTCCTTTGCCGATGACTTGGAGGGCGCCTTGCCTGGGGTTGATGGTGCCGCCCTCGATGGTGTCGCCGGAGCCGCCCGCGAGGCCTCTCGTCCCTTGTCTCGCTGCTCCTTCTTCAAATCCTTCCTCACCTTCTTGAGGTGTCCATAGGCATTCTCCAATCGGTTCCTCACCTCGGCCTCTTGCATGGCTGACGGAGCTCCCAAGTCCTTGGCGAGCTGCTCGAACAACTTCTGCTTCTTGTTGAAGGGAAGTAGATGTGGCTCCACCTCCTCTGGGGGCCTGAGGGCCTCCGGCACATCATGAGTCAGCTCTCTCTTCTTTTCAACCTCTTCTCGCAAGCCCTTGCCCTTGGGCTCCTCCGCCTTCTGCTCCTCCGTGTCGGTGTCCTTCTTCTCGTCATAGTCCATCACTGGCATCCGGCCCTGGGTGATCTCGGTCTCCACGTCCTTGAGGGCCCCGACGATGAAGTCGGCACTCATCATCTCGTCCGCGGTCGCCAGCCGGATCTTCTCCAAGGGGTAGGCCTTGACCCTCGTTCGAATCCTCACCCAGACCTTCTTCGGAACCGTCCCATCCCTTTCCACACAGACGACCACGGCAGGTCCGCTCCAAGACACATTGTCCTGCAATCTTCTAGCCAAGCCTCGGCGATTTGCCGGAGGGTCGTACACGTACACCACGGCACCTTCTCTCAGCAACTCCAGCATGGGCGGCTTTGAACGTGCAGCCAAGGCGCGCCGCAGCCCCTCGTGCGAATCCAGCCAGTGACATGCCTCAATGGCGGCTGCGCGAATGCGCTCGCTCCTCCTCAAAGCCTCCTCTTGGGCCAGTTGCTCATTTGCTCGGAACTTGACCTTTCCGCTGGTGATCTGAGCCAGTAGGGATCCTGGGAGCGAGGTGTTTCGACCTGTCACCGCCTGGATCGGCGCCACTCCATTCTTGCCCACGATGCGGTTCTTGGAAGCAAAACACGAGCAAGCTGCCGTCTGCATGTCCTTGAGCGAGTCGATCCGGAGCTCCTCAATCATCTTCATCAACATGACCTTAATGATCGAGCCATGCCTCTCGGCATGCCCAAGGCGCCATTTGGCCTGATCGGGCACCACTTCATGCTGCACTGCGAAGATGTCGTTCAGGCGGGTGATGGAACCCAAGAATTCTGTTCCACCATCTGTAATCAGCAGATCTGGTGGCCCGAACACATCATACCACAGCCGACACAGAGTCTCCGCGGCCCAGTCCGAGCTGGGCTCGAAAGCCAGTGCCCCCACGTGGTAATCGGTGAGCTCGTCGATGTAGTGCACCACCGCGTAGCGGACCCCCTTGATGTCCCACACGTAGAAAACATCGCCACTGATCCTCTGGTTGAAGTTCGTGGGCTTGGTGTAGGCCACTTGAGGTTTACTCCCCGGCGGCTGCATCATGCTGCACACCTGACATCGCATGTTGCGGATGCCTTCCAGTAGATCAGAGCCGCCCCCTGCCAAGCTCACCATCCTCAGAAGCCGCTCATTGGAGAGATGCCCCAGCGCCACGTGCAAGTGTGCCAAAATGGCACGTGTCCGCCGTGGAAGAAGCCGGGCATTTCCTTCGAAAAGGACATAGTCATATCGCTCTCCTTCGGCCCCCATTTGTCTCATCTGCCGGCGGAGGATCTCCTCGGGTGTCACCACTCCCTCCTCAACCTCCACGGGATAGGCCCCCCACAGCTCCATGGGGTAACTTCCTTGTCGCGGCTGGCCATCGGTCGGCGTCTGATCTCCTTCTAACGGATCTTGTTCACGCAGTGCCTCCGCCGCCAAGCTCTTCTGGGCCGCCTGCAGGATGTAGGTGGCGAAGTCCTTGGTCCATCGAGCAGCCACCGTCGACCGGCTCACCGTAGCCCCATCCAAATGGATAGACCCTCTGATCTGTTCATGCTCTCTTGGCTGATGATTGCACCTTGGGACACCAGCCAACCCCACGGCAAAGGACTGCTTATTCACATCCAAGTCGGTCGTCTTGCGGTACAGCTTGTGCGACACCGGGTCCTTCAAGCCAAAGACGCACTGGTCCACCACCACCCGATAGACCGTGGGCCGTTGGATCATGTACTTGGTCTCGAGGGCCTCGGAACCATCTGGCTGCTCGGTGAGGCACAGTCGACCCTCACTATCCTGGATGTCCCATACCTCCCGGCCCAGCTTCCAAAATGGGAGCTGCTTCCGCCTGACCTCATCCAAGGTGTCCCAGTCCTGCCGAATTCGCTGCCAAGCGCACCACGGACCACAGGGCGGCGTGATCACCACCAGGTCCGGCTTGAGGGTCACCACCATGTTCTTCACCCTGTCCCGGTTCTCCTTCACGGCCATGTCATTCTCGGCGCCCAGGATGACATCCACCGGCTGATAGGCTCCCCAGCCCGGAAGTTCGGCTGCCACCTGGGTCAACATCGATGAACCCGAGAACAACTCCAGCACCATGAACTTAGTCTCGGTCCGGGCCCCCTTTTTCACACGCGCCATCAAATGGATCGCCTGCTGTAGTCCCTTCTTGAGCTTCTGGGTCAAACCTCTGGGAGGTCGTGTTTCCTTCCACACCATCTCTTTCTCTCGCTGAGCCTTGAAGGCGGTGCGATCTTCGGCATAGAGTGCGCCCCACTCCCCTTCCTCTTCAGAGTCCATGACCGAGTCCTTGGTCGTGATCGTGGCGTCCTCCTCGTTCGCCTCATAGTCATCCTCGTTGATGGACTCGGTGGGCTCGCCGAAGTCATAGTCCGTGCCACCTTCATCCGCCCCCCCAGTCAGGTTGCTCTACATCAGGGGCCACGCCACCGGGGCGTGCATCCTTTGCCTCAATGCCCCCAGATGCCCCCACCAGAAGGCCACTTCCTTGCCGAGGAGCATCGCCAACCAACGGGGGTTTCTCTTCCAGCGAGCCCCCTGCATGGTGCTCTCCACGGCCTTCTTCACCCTCAACTGCCACAGGAGCTTCTTCCACAAGAACGTCATCATCTTGCTCCTGAAACACCACACCATGTTCATGGCTACCTCCTCGCTGTAGGCATTGGAAAGAGTGGGATAATCCGCCCTCTGACCTGTCAATGCCTTGGTCTCTTCCCTCTTGGCCTTGGACTTGGCCGCCCGGGCCCTGGCCTTGGCGATCTTGGCCATCTCCTGTGGCGTGAGCTGATCGATCTGGATCTCCTCCATCTCGTCCTGGTCGATGCGGTACTGCTCCGCCTTGGATGGTGGCGTGATGATCTGGCCGCTCCCCATGGCTCGGGCCTGTGCCTTCGGCTGCCTCTTGGGTGTTGTGCGCTCGACCGGCAGGAAGCTGCGCATAGAGGCATTGCTCATCCGCCCCATGGGATCCTCCCAACTCCGTTGGCTCTCCGCGTCCATGTCCAGGGCGCTCTGCAGGTGCTGTAGCTGTTCGCCTTCGGACTCCAGATTGGGGCAGTCCCGGCTCCGGTGAGATTGATCTCCGCATACCCGACAGAAGCCCGTCGCGGAGCGCGACATGCGAGTGAGGATCCGGAGCGTTCACGGCCGTCCCTGAGCCAAAAATCTCGCCCACAAGGACATTGTTGATCATGGCCAAACTGCAGGCCTCTTGGCCCGCCTCAAGACGAAAATCCTCCGGTACCTTCGAGTTGGGGATTCCTTCGAACTCCGCAATGTCCATGATGTAGTGTCCACTAGAGGTTTGCTTCAGTCCGTATCCCTTCACACCCAACTTCTTGGAGGCTAGTAGATGATGTTCACAGTCAAATTGTATGCCAAGCTGGGTGCATGCATGACGGGATAGGAGGGGTGGACAATCGCCCTTCACCACGGAGAACCCCAACACTACCAACTTCCCAGCGAAGGTCGCCTCGAACTGCACCCCATACTGACTAGCGAGGGTGTCCCCGCTTCCAAAACGAAAAACCTCCTTCTCCTTGAAGACCCTAAACCATCGATGTTGGTGTTGCCACCGCTTGATGATTTGGTTGATCCACACAGTCCCTGCAACCGACTTCAAACACCCAATGTCCAGAATGACGGAGGTTGCGAGTTCCTTCACGCACCACAACACTTCATGGTCAGCCGACCCACCACTCAGCCCAACCCCACACGGCAGCGTCATATATGCACACGCGGACGAAGATCTCGGTGAAGCCGCGTTGGGCGTGCACAAAGACACCAAAAGATCCCACTCGTGGTCTCCCTCCCTGTCTTCGGGTAGCGAGGCCAACTTGAGTGATGAAGTGGCGGGGCTCTTCTTGGCCCTCATAGGCTTCCTTCCCAAAGTGGGCGTAGCCATCAAAACCTGCTGTGCTTTTGGATGGGGGCACTCTCTGCTCCAATGCCCTATCTCTCCGCAGTTGTGGCATGCGGTGTTCTTGATCTTGTCGGCGAGGGCCTTCTTGCGCTCTTCAACTTGGTCTCCCTTTTTGTAGTATTGGCGGAGTTTCTTGACCTCCGCCATGCGCTGTTTCGCTTTGTAGTGGAGGGCATAGGCTTCCCGTTCCACTTCCCTGAGCTCTGGGGGGGCGTCCTCATCAACACTCTCTTCACCTGGCTCGGTGTCCATCTGCGTGGTCTCCTCCTCGCCGAACTCACTCATGACCTCCGCCGCCAAGGCCTGACGAGCGCCTCCTCGACGTGCGGCATGTAGTCCACCTGTCGCCCCCCTTTGCACCAACCACTCATCGCCATTCGCCCCAGCAGAGTTTGGCTCGGATGCTCCGATGGGATATCCGTGTTCTCCTTCTAGTTCTGCAGCCAATTCCACAAGGGCGTTGGTGATCGAATCTTCGGTCTCATCACCAGCCCGGGCCCTGACCAAGACCTTGTCCCTTCGACTCAGACGGGCGTGATCCAACAAATGGCCAACGTAGAACCTCTCGCCCATCTCCAAGGTCGAGTCGAGGCCCAACAGCTGCGTGCGGTAAATGCTGCCGCGTGTGATGTAACTTTCTAAGGACTCTCCCGCGAACCTGGTCAAGGCCATCAACTTCTTTCTCTGTTGGTCAATGCGGTGCTTGTCCAACTGCTTAACCAGGGGGCTGCGCTCAAGGACCTCGAAGATCTTCTGCATGCCCCCAGGGCGGTTCACGTCCCCATTGTTCAGGTGCTTCACCAATTGTGCGGCTCTGTCCCTCAGCTGCACCATTATTCGCGGGCCGATGTATTCCTCTGGAATCTGATGGCCTTCTCCTCCCAGCCAGAACTCCAAGGCTCGCCGCCAATCTCTATAGCTCTCACCCGCCTTAGCTCTGAAGATCGGCGGGTAGGAGCTGCTGACCTTCCCCTTGGCCGGATTGGCCTTCCCTTCATCTCCTGGCCCCTTCGGCGGAGGAGCATCCCCCACCGATGAGACCTCGCCGGAAGGCAGGTTGCCTTGGCGATCAAAGCCGGCCGCTGCCGGAGAGCCCGGGGACGCGGCCGAAGTCCACTGCCAGTGCCCATGCTCTTGTCCCTGATCGCCACGTGTGCTCGGTGCTCCCGAACGATGCCCTTGTCCCTGATCATGGCGTGCACGATCACCCCAGGCCCAGTTCTCTCGTCCCGAGTCCACGCTAATGACCTCCGAGCTTGGGGCACCCCATGAACGCTGCTCATCCCATGACCAGTTTTCAGCCCGTCCTCGGTCTCGCCATCCCTGCCTCCATGATGTCCAGGACGTCGATGTCCATGATGAGTCATCACCCGGTTGATACCAACCGTCGCTGCCACCCAACCCACTCACATCCAGTGGATTCCCCCATTCCGAATCACCTTCGGATGCATTGGGCTCAACTTGGACCTCAAAGACCTCGTAGTACGAGGTCATCCAAAAACCCCCAGCCGTAGGGCTCGAGCACCACCGCCCCAAAACCACCGTAGCCAGCTCCCTGCGCCGCCGCCCACAGCGCCTATGGCCCTGGATCGAAACCTGCTCCGCTGCCACTTAAACGTGGCAGCGCAAAACCCTTTTCATCCGCTCGAGCCCTGCAGCTTCGATCGAGGGACCGTCGGCGGGGCGGCTCGGTTCCACAGTTATGCTTTTCACCATGGGTTGGAGGCCATCGCTACTAGGTTGGAGGCAATTGCTATTAGGATCTATTAGGTAGGTTATGCACCGCAAGGATACGCACGGCGAGCACCTGGAGATGGAGCTCATTTGCCTTTTCCGCATTTCTATGATCACAAACATTTGTTGCGGTACATTGATACAACCTAAGGCATGTCATTGGCATTTCCATCATGCCTGGCACCCACCTTGACAAAAGGGGACCGGATGGGACCGGTAGGGCAGACGCTCTCAGGGCAGACGCTCCAAAGTGCAATGTGTCTGTGTCTTCAGATATCCAGCATTCCTGATCTCACAAGAAAGGGCACAACATGCACAACAGATTACGAATCGAATGAACATATACTCGGGTCAAACTGCTTGAAACATCGAATCCAGCATGGCCCCCAGGCCCCCCCCAGGCCCCTCCAGGCTCCTGGCTTTCCACTGTCGGACATTCGATAGATATGGACCTCGCGCACTTGGCCACGGTCTGCTGGAGTTTGAGCTTTGGCAGTCTGCTGAAGAACTTGCTCCGTTCGTAGCGATGCCCTTTGCTCTTAGTAGCTTCGTGTTCCTAGTAGGAAGGCCAGGAGCCCCTAGTAGCGTCCTTGTTCCTAGTAGTGGCTTAGAATATCTCCAACATCTTGCAACATCGGTGTGTATTCATTTGCCGTAGTCGGGCGAAAAGGACGTTTGAAAGGTACTATGGTTCGAGGATATGATTCAGGGAACTATAGAGAACGCTAAACAAATGCAAACCCACATGGAGCAAACTTCATCTGTTTCGCATTCCCTGTTGCACCTGATCGAGAATGGAAGCCAAGCCATCTGGAAAGCAAGAGACCAAGACACTTCTTGGATCAAACCCTCAACCCTCCAACACCCCCAGAGTTAGGGCTCTTAACGCCAACCCCGGTGTCCCAAATCTGCTGTGCTCCCCGACAGTGTGGGCATTGGCCACAGCCAAGCGCCGTGTGCCCATGGCCCACAGCGGTGACTGAGAGTGCACGTGCGATTTGAAGCCAACTGGGGAAGCACGTGTTCGGTGAATCTTACTGAGAATACCCGGTGTCGGATGTTTCAGGCAATGCAGCTTTCATTGCATCAACATGCATCAACCCGAAGTTGGGAAAGTAGGACACTTGAGGAAACTTTGGCCCAATCTTTTTCGGGTACTGTACGGTACAGTACTGTGTAGTACCCAAAACATCCAAAAACAAATCGTCCTTGCAGCCGTCCGAGGCAAAATGCAACGGATAAAACAGGCACTGGAAGGATACTTTGTTGGTGATGGGGACTATTAGATGATGCGCTCTGGACAAAACATGCTTATGTTTATGTTGGTCTTATGCTGCTACGACCCCTTCACCACCTGGGACCACTAAAAATGCATATTCTATGGTTTTTCTTATTTTTTCTCTATCTCAGGAGGTGCACGCACGATGGTGGTGCACATTCTGATAGCTCCATCCGGTTGGTCGATCCACCGGGTGGAGAGAGATCTCGTGCTGTGCGCCTTCGTGGTGCAGCTTGATGTCCCACCCCTCGCGGCCGTCTGCCGAGACGCGAAAGCGACCAACGAGGGCGACTCCAGGGGGAGCTCCACCTGAAGCGGCCGTTGCACCGACGAAAGCGGAGCTTTGCGGCGGAGATGCTTTGCGGGGGGAAGGTCAAATGCACCTGGGGTTGAAGAGTGGAAGAGGCTCATACCCAAAAAGTTCGTCTAGTTTGAACATGCTATGCAAAAAGTAGCATGTTCTCCCCAAAAAACATGCAAAGGTTCAACGACAAAACACTTGTGAGGCGCTACTCCGCTACTTTTGGGACGACTTCTGAGAGCATAAAGCCCGACTTGGAAAAAGCCAAAGCGACGTGTTATATGGCAAGTAACAAACACACATGTGTTTACAGATTACACATGTTTACACATGTTTGCACACCTACACTTCATCTTGAACCGGGGTCACCTTCACATCCTTCACCCAGTCACTTGACCTTTGCAAAAAGGACAACGACACTCGGGTAACTGGAAGGCGATTCGAACGTATGAGAAGTTGGTTCTGTAGCACCTCCAAGGTTGAAGTGACAAGTGTTTCTTGACGGCCTCTCCCTCCTCCCTCCCAGTCTTTTCACATATGAACAAATCTGCTATCTCCATGCTGGTGAACACTGCGCTGAGACCAGTTTGACTGGAAAGGGAATGGTCATCCATGGGGGTGTAACTAGTGCATAGAGTTTAAAGACTCCTTTGGCGCAGACTAGGCTGAATGAACCCTTGTGCAGCATCCACCATCCTTGGCCTGGCCTTTCCATTCTACACTGAATCAGGCACGGCATGAAGCTTGTGCGCCAGGTCTTGACCCCTCCATGAACAATCATCGCTCATGAAGAGTTGCAGTCCACCTCACTGCAGTTGAAATGTGGACTTTGTGCAAAGGCTTTGCCGAATCCATCCTGGAGCAAAGGCGGGGCCCCTGGGGTTGGCTCTTGACCCAAAAGGGTTGCGTTGACAGTGCCACCACTTGGGACCTCGGGTTACGGTGATATTGGAAGTTTGAATTCCGCAAAGCTTGACTGAGCATGACCCGCGGACCCGCGGAGCAGGTTCCCATTTTCACTCGTCCGAGGAACTTTGTCCGCGAGTGGTTACACACCTCCTTCTTGAAAGCGAAGAAAGGGGCGACTATTTGGCATCTTTTGTTGTTTCCAAAGGATTTTGGCGAACCAATATGTGGCATTGCTCACCCAAATTGGTCTGCTGGGTTTCCACCGAATCTTGGGTCCACCAAGTTTCCTGATTCTTTTTGCTCGTACTAATTAGTTTGAAGCTTGTGTTGGCCACGCAGCATGGCTGAACGCCCTGAGGTGCAACCACAAAACATTGAGGGACATCGAAGGGGGATACCCAGGTGAATACTCAATCTATTGAAGCTACTCCCCGTGAAAAGTCCCAGGCGAATGTCATTGCCCAGTGCCTTTGAAGGCGCATCACCCAGTGCGTCACAGCCTCCGAAGACCGGGTCTCCTTGTCGCGGATGCTGCAGCACATGTTCCGGCTGATCGGCGCGCCCATCCTCGGTCCACTGTGGGATCTCTGAAAATGAAAAAGCTGCTGTGCCTTTGCCTGTAGGAGGCTAGCTCAATGACACGGAGATGAAAGAGTAGTGTTCTAGGATACTCTATATAGGGTCCCAAAAATCCAAAACAACAGCAACATAATTTCAATGAACTTCATCTGTTTTCTTGGACCATCTTTGATTGCAGGAGCCACTTGAAGCAATTCGTGCTCTTTCGCTTGGAAGGACGCAGTTGATCACAGTTGGCCATATACTATGACTATATTGGAGCTCAAGATATGAACCCAACGGTGCTGCAGGTAGCATGTCTTGCTCTTTCCCTTTTTGAGTTCCTACAAGAGTTTTGGGGATTTGGGGACCACTTGCTGATGCTTTTAACAAACTGCACCACTCATGTTGGTGCATTGAACCTCCAACTTAATCTCTCTTGTGGCTACTCGTGATCAGCATATCTGCTTCTCTTGAGAACCCAACCTTTTTCAGAGCGCGGACACTGCGCCAGCGTGACGCTTCAAGTGGATTCAAGTGGCCAAAGTGTGACAGTTCAAGCGGCTTTATGGACACTCGGATGTGTTGGACACTAATTATACTAGCTCCACGCACCAATTTGGTACCTCGAAAGGTTCGAAAAACCATCTAGGCATCGGGGTAGTACGAATAGAACAGCCACCGTTTGACTTGTTGTACATTTCAGCAGCAATGCAGCACATGTATCTGTTTCCGCTGCTTCCAGGGGTAGACAGTAAACACAAAAATGGTGATTCGATGAGACTAGCATATCTACTCGAGTCATCACATGTTCTTCGAGCGAGCTTGCTTGGCCACATTTCGCGGCACAATGACTTGTGGAGCCAAATCTGACCAGCGGCAGGACACCATTTGCCGCCAAGGCAAAGGATTGCAAAGGGATCTGTTGTCAGCGCGCCGTTTGTTCCGAACTTCCATCAAGCAAACTCCTTGACCCGACTGGTGGCTGCTCCCATTGATTTTATCATGCCTCGAACGACCTTCCATCCGAAGTCTCTCAAACCATGTACACGGGAACTTGTGTCCCCTTGTTTTCGTCATGCTGGATTTTATTTCGGTCAAGCAACTAGATGGAAGTAGTAGTGCAAAAAGAGGCAAACCTTCAAATCCAAAATGACTATTGGCAAACCCAGGACTTCTCCCAGGGATTCAGGCGCCGCACGATCCGCACGCACCGTTTCGGGAGCAATGCGTACGATGCAACAAGTTCAATGGCCTCCACCCTAGCGATGGCCTCCAACCTAATAGCAAACATAGTATATAACATTAACATGTAGTAAACAAATAGGTTGGAGATGACCCTTTAAAGTTTCGTCCTAGATGCCCACAATAGAAACACCAGCTGATGGGTTATCCGGCATAAAGAAAGGCTCCAAGGGAGGACTTTGTGTTGCTACTTCACTCGCTGTCCACATCATCTGAGGAGTCCTGGCAACAGAGCCATGATGCGAACTCCAAGCTTTCATCTTATATACATATATAATATTGTGCTTCCACCATGCCTTTGTCAAAGCATCCAAACCTGTCTCAATACACACAATTTTTTGGGATATATTGACGCAAAGTATGGCCATGTACAGGGACTAAGGGGATGCTTCATCAAACAGTAGCACGAATTTATCCCGGGGCACCCATGTCAGATTTCTCCACAAAAAGACATTACTCCGCCTGCCGTGCTGCTTGCTGAGCAGGGAAGACGATCTGTGGCCCATCTCCGGCCAAAAATCCTGCAGTTCTAGGACTCCCAACACATTCTGCAGGTGCATGCAAGACCCGAGGGATTCGGGCAAAAACCTCTCGCAACAACTATGATTCTATGATACTATGAGACAAAACCTCACACCACAATCTTGAGCTGAGTGATGAAGATTTGACGCACTTGTGAAGCTACTGGTGAGCACTCCTCTTTTTTCCGAAAGAGAGCTGTCAGGTGATCTGGAAGAGCGTGGATGCTTGGATTGTGGTTGAACAGTTGGCTGATCCCTACCACTTGGTTAGGGCAGGACCCTGTAAAATTTCCCTCAAAGGGGTGGGGATGCTGGCAGAATATTCCGCGTGCTCTCTGGGTCGGCGGACCATTGGCGCTCAAACCCTCTGCGATGTGCTGCCAGTAGTCACCTCAAGGTCTTGAGCAATGACGTTTCACACTTCAAAACACAAGGGCCTCAAATGTACGAAGAAACGTTGAGTATGGCGGAAACCGGGCCACCGGGTTGGGATTCCGGTCGACCGGGATTCGGGCAGTCCACCGTCATTCCGGTTAGCCGGTCGACCGGCCAGCCGGGAAATCGGGCCCCGCAACATCCCGCAACAGTCTATGCCCTACCAGGGTCTATGTCCTGACTGGTCTCTCATTATTGCATCATATGCATCAGCTGGTTGCAATTGTATAGCTTAACTGTACATAATCTCTCTATCTTTCAAGCCCCTTCAAATTGTAGATTTTCAGGGGAACCATTCTATACCCACAAATGGAAACAATTTGGAACACCTGAAAAAATGTACGGCTTCAAAGGGGTCGAAAAATAGAGTAGTGATTATATACAAAAGCCGTACACTATTGTACAGTTTCAAATGGGTCGAATAATAGAGTGATTAGCGTGATTACAAGAAACATCAAGAAACTATATTTAGACTCCAAGAGCCAATGGTGCGGGCGGTTGTCGTCGTGAAGCGACCCAAATTTAGTTCAACACCACCACAAACAACATCAATAATACAATATGAATATAAAATGTGCTGAAACTGCTTCGCCCATGGCCGTTTCAACAATAATTTTCCGCAAAGCCGAGCCGAAGCGAAGACAAGCCGATACCGCACAATACCGAGCCGATACCCAACCGAAGCATTCACGTAGGAGCCATACCGCAGCCGAACCAAGCCCCCGAATGTGGAAAAACACTTTTCGGGGCCTGAAAAGTGTTTTCCCACATGTGCCTTTCCTGTGGAATTTGGGCGCTGGCTTCTGTGAAGCCTCTGGGATCTTTGAGTGGACGAACGGCTCGGTCATGAATGGTAAACAATCACTTCTGTGAACTCCTACAATGAATGCGGAAAAAATCTTTTCGGGGCCTGACAAGTTTTTTCCACAAGTGCCTTGCTTGTGGGATAAGGAGCCAAAGGAAAAACATCCGAATTGATGGTCATGGCCCTGGCCCTTGCCACAGGTCTGTGGTCACAAGAGCAATCGCATAGCCAGGGTCTCAACCGGCTAGCTTGTGCCCGAAACTACGATTCAAACAAAGAAATTGCATTACAGAAAACACTTCCAAGGTCCGAACAGTTTTTTTCTAAATAATATGTGTCTCCGCCACCGTTGAAAAACCGAAAACATGTTCAATACATCATACGAACCGAACCGAAACCGAACCGATCCCAATACATGTCAGCAATAAATATCGAAAACATATCGCAACATGCGCGAACCGAACCGAACCGAACCTAAACAGCCATGTTCGCCGTATTTTTCTATTTTAATCAGCACAGGTTGATTTTTTTGACGACAACCCTTGTTATTGATTTCCCCCACCCATGCAGCAGAGTGCGGTCGTGTGAAAGCAAACAAAAGACATACTCACGTTCACCGTCACCTTCGTCTTCCTCTTCATCTTCTTCATTGTCTCCTTCTTCTTCTTTTCTTCTTCTATCAGCGGCATGCCGCATAGTCACACGCATGCTTCCCACCCCGTCAGCCCGGTTCGGTGAGGCAGCTTGGCCGGTCACCCGGGCCGGGCCCGGTCAGCCTGGTTGGCTGGTCAGGCGGGCCCGGCCAGGGTTGCCCACCAGCCTTTACTGTTCTTTGACTTTGTGATTCATGTGCTTTTCCTTTTCCTTTTCTATGGCCTGGAAAACCAGAACCTGGTCAACCGGAACCATCCGGAATCACGGTCATGGTCAGAACCTATCCACCGCCGCCCTTCTGCAAATGTTTCTCTTGGACACATTGAAGAATTGAAGACCTACAGTAGGTGATCACAGGTTTTGGATGGCTTTGGTTTGTTCTGCGGCTTTGTGGCTACTGGCTTTGCTCCCATAGGCTTGCAAAAAGCCATCCCAGTTGAAATCCAGCAAATGAACTTTGACAATGGCAGCGTGTTCGACTTTGCACATGCGAGACCTGAATAGAAAACACAGTGAAGGTTTGCCAGTGGTCTCCAAGTCAAACGACCCCGTGAACAAGGGCATTCAAGTGCAGAATATTGCCGAGCTTTGGACCAATTGAAATGTTGATGTGGTGGGCACAGCGAATGGGCAAATAGGTACAGCGCATCCACATGTACGGCCTTGGCCCAGCATGTCGCAAGTGCTTGAGAACGATGATCAATTGTAGAAGCAAGAAGGCTACTAGTAACAAGGGCATTGCTACTAGTAGCTAAAAGGCTACTGGTAGTAATGCCCTTGTTACTAGTAGCGATGCCCTTATTACTACTTTCATTGTAGATTTCACCATATTGATTCTAGATTCTGCTTGGGCACGTGGATCTTCGGATCATCTACTGATCATCTACTAATCTATTAGCCGGGTTTAGACCAAGCCCAACTCAGCAGCTTTCCACATCCGGGCGCCGGGCACGTAGAAAATCCATCCCACCACACTAAGGGCCAACAAGACCTGCGACCAGGCTCAAAGCACTCGACGTCAGGCGAACTGATACCTTTACTTGCAGGTGTTTTTGGACCCCTTCAATGTGGACCCCATCAGCAAGGACTGGGACAAATTGAAGAAACGCCGGTGATATTGGTTTCCCCAAAGGCACAAGATCTGACTCCCGCTCATTTGGAAGGTAAACAGTCAGGCATGTTATATATCTATATAATTATATATTCATGATTTCCAGTGCCACCTCAGCGCTTAGGTGAGCCTCTTAGACTCTTAAAGTCCCTTCGTTCTGCTAATCAATCCCAGGTTCTGATTGCTGACCGATGAACCTCCTTCCAAACCAGAAACACCACCTCCTCCAGCGGTCCCGCCTACTGCAAATTGAACAGTTTGAAGAGGATACAAACTCAGTGTGTTTCTCGGCGTCAACTACCCTAACTACAGTATACTACAGTTGGGTACCTAAAGCCATCTCCATCTTCTCAATCGGCCTTCAGGGCTTTGCCGTGCATGAAGTTGGCCCATTGGGTGTTCCTTGGTGTGTTGGCCCATTCAGCACAACCTTTTCGCAACAGCTAAAACCAAGAATACGTCAAAATTAGGCGCACACCCTTCCATCGTGAGTCGCAGAATTATGAGAACTAGCCCCTCAAATCCAGCTTGAAAAATCACATCGCGATATGTCGCGATGTTTTCTTTTTCGGGTGTGACAAGGTGGCAGGCTTCTTTTGGCTGTGGCTTAAGAATAGTAGGGCACCATCCAAAACTCCCTCCCTCCCTTCGTGGGGGAAATCTCGAAAAAAACTGGACCATGTGCTGTGGGTACTTTTCTCTTCGCACCGAAGAGTCGTGACCACGGTCGGCAGTTCGCTCACATCACGTGGTCCGCTGGCCATGCGGACGGTTGATGACCGCATAAGGCTTCCGTTGGTGAGCTGAGGCCCATCCCAAAGCTGTCAAGTGATGAGTGGATGAGCATTCTCTCATCAGGACAAGACAGTCAAACTCCTAGCCCCGCTCGTTCTTTTCATTCTGAGAAGTGTGACATTTCAAACCTTACTCGCCGATTTTTGAGGGCTCAATCCGGCCCTTTTGGCTGTCCAAAAACCACCGGTCTCCCTTTCTCCCGGAGGGTCCGGAGTTGGAGTCCACGACCGGCCGTTGGGTCGGGCTCCGAGGTCCCGGACTTGTAAACACACATCTCCTCTGTTTCGGTGCGGTCGATGCTCAGCACTCCTGCCGGGAGAAAAGCGGTCGATGCGGGAGGTGAAGCTCAGCGGCACGGTCGGCACGTGGCACGTCGGCGACGTGGCCGTGGCCGACCGTGGAGAAACCCCATGTCGCAGGTTTGGCCGTCCTTCGAAACCACTTTGTCGAATCTGATGCTTGATGTTCATGGCCTTTTGTGAACCAAAGCAAAGAAACAAGCAGCAGGATTCATCAAAGAACATGAATCAAACACCTGAGCATGAAGTTGTCACCAGCCAAGACTGTGTTTGATGTAGCTTGATGCAAACAGGACAGCCCAGCACCAAACTACTCCTGAAGGCTCTCGCTTTGATCTTTTTTGTCTCCCAAATGATTCAGGCTCTGGCGAGCTCATCCCAGCACTGCCACTGGATGTGCTTCCGCCTCAAATATGGCGGAGTCAGCGGACAATGAGGCATGTTCGGGGAGTTCCAACACGCGCTTCTTTTCTCAATCTGACGCAATCCCAATCAATGAACTTCGGCCATCGTGGCAAACACCACTATGCTGGACAAGGTTGACATGCACTTTCGGCTGTTTTCCATCCATTCAGTGCTGTCGACTAGTCTTGCTAGCCAGTACTCTGGCGGGACAAATTGAACGCAAGCTTTGAGCTCCCAACACTTGCACGATGCTAAGATCCTCAGCTCTGTCGAAGTGCACCCCAATAGGGAGGAACCAAATGAAACCAAGAAACAAGCTTTGGCTCTGCCGATCAAACGTGGGACAAGCCAAGAAAGTGTTGCGGCCCAGTTAGGGAACTGGGACTCTCCTCCTCAAATCTCCTAAACCCATCATCCAAACACCACTTGGACGTTTCTTCAAATCCCTCTGGGATGCCTGGGACCCCCCCAGTCGCTCGCATGCTCCACCCACCGAGTCTGCGGGCGTTGGTGTTGTTCGCCAGGAACTTTTGCAGCTGGGCGTAGTCCTAGAGACCCGTCTGCCGTGGACTCGACGGGGAGCGTTCGTTCGCGGTGTTTCGCGCACGACGACGTGAAGAAGAAACATCAAAGAGGTGCAAACTTGAACAACGCCATGGCATACCATGGCTACATCTTGCAACACCCCATGCCAGTGTGGATAGAGCCATTGTAGGTGAAATCTGTGACCAACACTCCCTGGAAGGTTCAAACAGTAAAAGGCAGCAGTCTCCACAACTTTGGTGTGCAGCAGCTTCAAGCAATTCTCTTTTTCTCAGTAACAAATCCAACACCCCAAGATATCCGAGATCTAAGACGTCGACGTCAACCTGGAAGAATGAACTAAGCTCTGACAAATCACGGTGCAACCTCTGCAAAGCAATACGCAAAACCGCTCTTTGTTCATCGTACAAATAAGACAATTCCAGCTCATTGTATCACTGTCTTGTCTTGTTGTCTGCTGGTATGGACAGTCCCTGGTGTGGCCATGTCCATCATGATTCCTCTTCAGTCTGTATATAACTTCCATGGCCAGGTGGTTCCATCTTGCAATAGGGAGACTGCCATCGCTCATTGGTCAAGGGAAGTAAACAACAAATATATAGATACATCAAAATAAAGTTTGCGCCTTTGTTCCTTTACCAGTGAGCTGTGAGGAGTCTACCTCCTTTTGAGAGAACTCCACCAAACACCCTACGGCCCCCTCCGCTTGGCCCTCCACAAACGGTCTCTCCTCTGAAGCCACTCCAACCTTGCGGGGTCTTCTGCGGCGTCTTCGAAGGGTTTTCAAATCAAGAGACGCCTGCATGACAGTGGTACCAACTACAAACCTCCAAAAAGCACTTTTATTACAGTGGACTTTTGACGACCAACCACATAGGCCATATGAGTGCCGGACAAAATCTTGTATCTAGCCTAAGGACATGGCCTAGAATTGGTAAGGCCTTCATCATGTCCACCGTGTGACTTTAGCCTTCGCATATTTTGGTCGGATGCTTGTATAGGCCATAGTTTCCGGGTTCTTGTACCCGTACAATATGAGCGTCTGCCAAAACATACTGTCAGGCAAAGGACATGATTCAGCAGGGGTATTGCTTTTGAGGGGGGCCTATCGTTTTAGCCACAATGTCAACATAGCTGAACATATCCAACACCTGTGGACATATGGACATATGGTTAATTATCGCTTTTGAGGGGGGCCTATCGCTTTTGCAGATTGTAGCTCAATTTCTGAGCTTCCTGACCACTGTTTTCCAAATTAGCCATTGCACGTTTTGGCGGTTGCTCATATACCTCCATTGTGCCATCTTCCATCAGCAATTTAGACCATCCATTCTGGGGGGTGTGTGTTTGAGTAGGCCAAACCCCAAAGGCATCCGGCAAAAAGGGACATATGGATAAACCGAACTAAACCGACTAAACCCCTTGAGCCAAGGATATATACACCCATGTAAATCCTTATGGATGAAGCAGCTTTCACCAACGGTCCTCCCTGGTCTCCCCTGGTCGAGCCTCCGGGGAATCCTCATCATCTGTGTCCTAAGACACCGGCGCATCAGTCGTCGAGAACGACGAAAAGAAAGAGCTGCCTAATGCGGAAACTTCTCAAAGACTATTCTGGCAATCAAAGGGAATTCTGAACAGCACTTCCCCAGGCTTCAGACGTTCATAAGATGCCCTTGAACTTTCTTCTCATGTGCCCCGTTTCTTCCATCTGCCCAAAGAACATCCTCAGCCAAGCAGCAGTATTCTCTGGCGTCCCTCTCGCCACCCAAGGCCTGAAGGCAATCCCATTCCACTGGATGGAGACATGAACCCAAGACTGTGAATAGGATTCAGTTCATGTCTGTTCCTGTTCCAGGCACGAACCCAAGACATGAACTGATTCTGGCGTTCCTTCAATACCCGAGACTGAGTCGATGGATTTCTGCCCTGGGTGGATGCGAACAGCAAAAGGTATGGGTCGATGGGAAGAGCCTGGTACATCTCCATGGTCTGACATACCCTTATGGGCCTCTTGGTCTGGAGCCTGGTTTTGGTGCGGAGAGCCTGGTGACTGATGACGACCTCCCATCCGGTACGGTAGCATGTGATCAGATTCTTCCACTCCTAGACTTTCCCCTGTGACAGGTACTTCCGCCCGGCTGAGCTGAGCAGCGTCAAGTCCAGTGCGAAGGAGAAGGCGACAGCATAGAGGCCATCTGGCGGCCATCAACACCCGACTCTGGTTGACCCAGCAAAATGAACAGCATCCTCTAAGCCTCTATGTCGGATGTTTACCTACCACATCCCACCATCATTTTGGGGCTAAATGGCTCATCAGTCCAATGGCCAAGGGTGTTTGGGATGCAACGGCATGGCCCCTGAAATAAAGTTTTTAGCTGGTCAAACCGAGGGGTACTGGTCAAACTTGAGAGAGTCGGACGAACATAGACTCGGACGAAAACTGGTGCATCACCATGTATCACCAACAAATGTTCGACGATCCCACAGCAAAACCCACAGCTTTTTGGAAAGAACATGGTGGGTATCAATTAGTGGAGTTGAGCCCACCAACTCTCAAACCCACAAAATCATCACAACCAACTTGCCGAATGGAACGGCCATCCAGCACGACGCACACACACAAAAATGGACACCCTCGGTATCTTTTGCTTGTGGTTCGACAAGGGCCTTTTGAACACGTGGAGTGCAACTCCCTGAAGCTTTCTGACAAATGCTTCCGTCTGACTGAACGAACACATCTTCCATGTCTCCACCCGTTCGTTCAAGAAACAGCGCCCAAGCTGTCTCACCTCTCCAAAAGAAGGAGCCCGGAAAGTTGTTGGCCACGGGCAAATACCCGGTGACCTCGGTGTCGTCTTCCGTCCCCCCGTCCTGCGGATGGACGGTGCCATCAACGGATGGACGGAACCCGTTTGGTGGACGATCGTTTGGGCCAAGATGGAGATTGAGATGTCTTTGACTAACAGTTCCATTGTTCTTCCATACCTTCAACATCCTTCAAAAGCTTGAGGCAAACAACATGATATTGTCTTCAAGGGGCGAAGAAAGGCATTCAGTCTTGCAAGAGATTGGTTTCGAGCAATGCTCCCTTGGCCTTCCGGCCCGCAAGTGCACCTGCTTGGGTTGTTGGTTGAAGGCCTGGACGGTCTGACGGCGAAAGACTGGTCTGAACAACAACTTTCCGAAGTCTGTAATTATGCAAAAAAAAACAAAGAATCATACAGAGATATGGCATGATTTCCTCAACTTGATGGGATGACCACATATATTGTAGTCATATGTAGGACTTCATGTTGTACAAATTTGGTGGGTCCCACGTCATCGTGGATTTACCGTACCTCGAGTATCTGGAAACACCTGCTTTGAAACTTGGCTCACTGGTCAGTTGTTTTTTGTTTCTGCAACCTCCTGCGCCAAACAGTTGAGTCATGACTTGGCAAATGAGGTAATTACTCATAGACGACCAAAAGAGAAAGCAGTGCTCCTGACCGCAAAGGTGTCTACATCTGTCACACTCTTACACTATCACGAACGAACATCCAAACACCCAACTGGATGCATCAACACTTTCCATCTTGTGTATCATTTTGTATCAACAACTCCGGCTGCCCGGCGCTTCTTCTATATAACATTCAAAACCAAAGGAAAACCCCCCACAAAACAGCTATGGCCTCCAGAAAGGCATCCTCCCCATCCTGGTCAGCCTTAGATGCCGGGGCAAGCCACTGAGATCCACTGTTGTCTGCTTCGCGACCGGCCGAAAGACCAATAACGGGAGGAACACCGTGCATCAAATAACAAACAAGAGGTCGGGGTGGTCCCTGCAAATAACTTGAGTCAGGCGTTACGAAACGCTGAGAAAAGTCTGTCAACACCTCATATCTCTTGGAACGTATCGACCACCATGTGACAACCAAACCATGTTACATAATGTTACATAGGGTTTGAACCGGAGAGAATTCGCATGGTTTGTCTTTGCTTCATGTTGGCCCGCCCCTTTCAGCCAACAGCGCGCCACATTCTGCTTCGAACGCCTGTGCTGCCGGACCGTGTTGATGAACATTCTCGGATCCGCGTAGAACTTCACCCTGGAGCGATTCGCTGCCTGGTCTGCAGCGGGATGAAGTGCTACGGTGAGTGGTGGATGAAAGAGGGAAAGCAATTACTAACAAGGACGCTACTAGGGGCTCCTAGCCATACTACTAGGAACAAAAAGCTATTAGAAACAAGACGCTATTAGAATTTAAACACAAACAACGCAGTGAAATAGGTTGATGAAAATGAAGATGGAGATGGCAGCGGGTGGTTAGTTTGATGAACTAGGGAAGCATTCACTGGCATTCACTGCTGTCTTAGAGGTCCAACACCACAGGTGACCCCTCACAACCTCTGATCCCACTCGGTCCCACTGCTTTGAACAGCATGGTTCTAATGCCTTGCCACCATCTGGTTCGTTTGACATGATCTTTCCTTTTCTGTTCAGAAAATTGTCCAAAAGGAAAAACACACGAATACAATGATGTGCCGCACTGGATCTGCACAAGTGAAGTGACTCATGAACAAACAGTTCTGCCCTCAATTTGTAAACTGGCCCGCCTGTCTGTGTGCCAAGCATGCACTAAAGGAAAGCGTTGCGAAGTACACAAACCTCGGGCTTGAGAAGGGGCTGATGCAGGACACAATGCAGGACACGTGGTCATGTCCTCAGGCCTTTTCTCCATAGTGTCCTGTACGCAATCGCCCTCATTCAACTATCCAAACATCACCCGGGACAAACCTGAGGATGTCTCAATCTTCTGCAACACATTCACCTGACATTAATCCATCTTCATCCCTGCAGGGTGGGTGTGAGGCGCTGACAAGAGCAAGCACATCACCACCAAGTCTTGCATCTTCATCCGTCGGATCAAGTCCTGACTGCGAACAAAGACAAAAGGACAACGTTGCAACATGGGGAGGCTCCAAAGACGACGGCGTCAGAAAAATGCATTTCTCTTTTTTTCCTTCTTTTTTTCTGTCAGATTTTCTTCTTCGAGGTTTCACAGCAAGAGCCAAATCAGGGCAGTGAAGTTACTATCACTCACCCTGCTGTCCAAATCCATACAAACCCACTGCATGTGAAAATGAGACCTTTTCCCAAGCTCTTGGTACCTGACGCTTCCAGGATGAGGCGTCTGCGCAAACCAACGATTCAGTGCTCTTTCATTGCAAAGTCCCTGGTTGCGTGTGATACAAACATGACCGGACGGAGGCCTCAAACAAAACGTCTAGAGTAAAACGATGAAACCATCTTGGCACATTCTGCTCGATCCACCACTGGGCATCCCTGGCGCGGTCGAAATTGATGCTGCCCGTGTTGCCCACCGACGCGCCAATGCCACCGGCCACCGCCATCAACATCCTGGCCGGCGCCAGTCGTGAGCGTGAGAGAGGCCATTCCGGACGCACATTCCACAACAAAACTCCCATGAAAGGGCGTGACCTTCGCACTTCCATCGTCGTAGAAAAAGCATTGCAAGTGGACTCTCCAGTTCACCTCCTTCCCTTGACCAAGCTTGGCTGGAGCGGCGGCTGCTCTGCCATGGGGCCCAACAGGCCCGTGTGGTTCGGAGGGACATCGCTATCAAGCTCCTGTTGCGATTCGATGCGATTTGTGGAGCGAAGCGGGTCTCGGCCTGCGTCCAGTGTGCGCAAATTGAGATCTTGTTGGGCCCTGAACTGTGAGGGGATGACACAAGTTTTGCCACCACACCATGGCAAAGCAATGCCAACCAATTATCTTTCGAAAGTATCCTTACTATCCTTATATATTTTATCTTCTTCACAGGTCCCAAGCTGAGGGACTACTGTTCTTGGCACACCGCCAGAATTTGGTCTCAAAAGTCTCCTGTTCTAAGAGTTTGATCTGCTTTCGCTGCTCATCCTAGGCATCCAAACTTGAGGACGTGGTCGGACATGGGAGAACTCGATATCTTGAAGATCTTCGAAGTAGTTCTGGTTAGAGTATGTTAGAGTGTCATCCAATTGCTGCTGCTACTGCTATGGTCGAGAACATTGAGAACTTCAGTCTCCCCGAATGGGAAAGTCCCTTGATGGGCATCGGGTGGATCTCTTGAGGGTCTTGAGGGAAATCGCTTGTGAAGAGCCCAAGTATCAGTATATATCAGTAAGTGTATGTCACGGTCGCCAACCCACACAAAAGCAACAAACACACAAGAATACTCCACATATCCACGCAAATCAGATTTGGATAGATTTGGTCCAAATCGGGAGCCTTTGATGGGTTTCGGGGCACGGGCTTTGATCCAGCGCACGCGCTCGGTGGAACGCGCAGCCGGGAGCCCACACGGTCAGCCTGGCATACCTCGAGAGTCAGCGGTGTGCCGCGGAGGTTCCGACGCTCCAGGGAGCGATTAGATGCTAGGATGGTGCTAGGATGCACTCAGGGACGCCAAGCTGCACATTCTTTGGTCGATTTTCATATTTCAAGGCTAAGAGCCCACAAGTACAAATGAAACAAACAACTGCACGGTTGAGGTGCAAGCGGCATGCCGCTTAAAAGTACCCAGCCCATACAACATGCACCTTCCAGGACCTGCTTGAGCATCCTTTCATGGCTGTACAACAGCAAATGTGACTGACCGAAGCCTTCATGGCTGTACAACATAAAACCACGGGCCACCCAAACTCTGGGGACTCACATTTTGCAATCGTGTGCCTCGCAAAAATAACATCTCTTTCTTGGGGATACCGACCTGATACCTTCCAGTAGAACCCGGACGATCTGAGCCATCCGATCTTCCAGTCCTCGCAGGACATGCGCACCATGGGATTCGCCGGGTGTCGCTCCTTCTCCCGGACATCGGCCTGTCTCCGACATCTGGTTCCGGGTCATCGCTCATCCCAGCCTGCGAAAAACGGTTTTGGGGAGTACCAAGGTAGTTGATCAGACTTCTGAATTCTCCGCCATGCTTGGTGTTTGAGGTAGGTTCCGATCCAAACCAGCTTTTTGGGGGGCTGGACGGGTTTTCCACTTTCCGTGTTGGAGAGTCGGAGTGCAATCACCTCATTGTTCAACCTATATAGTCGTCCCAGATCGTCCGTTCGAAAACGGTCTGGATATCCTGAGAATCCCAAAAAGGTGTACCTCCCTTGCTGCCATGATTGGGACTCTAGCAATAGGTGTACACATAGAGGAAATTCTTTGAGACAAAGAGCTTCAAGATCTTTTTAATGCTGGGATTGGGATTGGAGAAAATGCTGAATACACAAACACACACTCCGTAATTCTCAACAAAAACAAAACCACGTACAGTACTTGAGATTTGTCATTTGTCACCCCCTCTAGACTCTAGAATCTGTCATAGACCCGAAACAGGCTGAAAAGGTACGGTGGCCAAACCTGGCCCCGCACTGCAGTGGCCTCTTCATAATCATTGTCAACTATTCCTCAAGTCGCCTAACACCTTTGTTCAACAAACAAAAACTAACATCGTCATGATGTTGATGAAACATAGCTAGGCGAATCCTTCGTCCTTCCATTTCAATTCAATTTCTGGTCTATACAAGGAACTTGCTACAGTAGAGCATGGTGGGATGATGACACGGGTAGGATTGTTTTGGTTCTGGCTCCCTGAGGATAAAATCCTCTGCCACAGCAGGAGCTCCAGAAAAGCACGGCAAAATATCCTTGCTTCGCAGGAACGAGCCATGCCACCTTGCCACCGAGGCGCATCAGGGCCACCCACTAAATCCCATCTTCGATGACTGCCTTGGTGCTGGCTATTCTGTGAAGCAGTCAAGAAGGCTATTCTGTGGGCATGGTTAACACAAATTCAGCAAACCTGCAGCCAGTGGATGTTCATCAGGCTGCCATACGAGCGTAACGCGGGAACGTTTGATAACGTTTGCCGCTCAGCCAGACTCAGTAGTCATGGAGTCTGCGAGCTCTGTGAGAGTTTGTTCTCAACTGAAAACAGCGGGCTGGTACCTCAATGCCAAGATGTTGGACAATCAAACCTCTTGGACACACCTGGACATATGGTTGAGCATCGACTCCAAGTTTTTCATGAACTAAGTGTTTGCTTGACCCGACTGCTGCCGGCTTCCTGCTTGGTCCGTATTTGCTGCCGCATCATGATCTTGTGGTGCACTTGAGTGTTATGTGAGCAGTGGACAAACACAATGTCTGCGCATGCTTGTTGGCTGGCATTGTAAATTGTGATGCACTTCTATATCTTGTACACTCTTCGTGCCGTGGAGTTATGATGGTGGGAGGAGTTCTTTTTGACAAAACCCTGTCTCGAAGGGATCTCTGCTAACTCCTCTGAACATAGGTGCACACGGCCATCTCAACATAGTGACTTTGAGTGGCCTACTTTGCTTTGTTTGGGGAGGACCAAATTTTGAGCCCTTGGCCCCAAACATCCGATGGATCATTTTGGCTAGGCTGTGTTGGCTTTCCCCCCTCCTAAAAGGCATAGAAGATCCCGCGGCAGATTTTTGATCTCCCAGCAGATGCAGGACTTCTTCCTGCGTCCATTGACCAAACACCTTCCAGGCCCCCGACTGTTGGCTCCCGAGACCGCACGAGCACGGCTCACATACTCCGCCTGTCGAGAAACGGAGGTAGAGCAGGTTCTCTCTACCAGTATCTGAAGGGTAGGTTGGCTGTGGAATGCTTAAGAAAGCCTCTTGATGAACTTATCTCATCAATTTCCTAAACATATTGAACAGCGACAGCAACACCAACACAACAAGCAACAACACACACTTTTTGAAATGCGTACTGATGTGAATGCAGTGCCACACGCCAGCCTAAGAAGCCAGATCCTGAAAAACCAGGTGAGGGGGCCTGAGCGCCTTTAGTTAAAGGCCAAAGTTCCAAAGCCACGAGACGACGAGCAGGTCGAAGTGACGGCGGTCGTGCACATCTGCAGATCTCACTAGCACTTTACAGGAAGAATTGGAGTAACAGCTTGGGCAACAGTTCAAACAAGCAGGTACACCAGGTTGATCAGACCTGGCTTCCACCATCACGCATAGCTTCGTTGGCATGCGTTTGCGTGATGGCCGCGTGCCCCCTGCTCAACCAAAATTAAAACACAATCAGCACAATCCGAGTGGATCCCTGTGACTACAAGGGGCACACACACACACACGCCTTTTGAAGGGGAGGCTGCTCTTACCTAGTAGCATCCTTGCATCCAGTAGTAAGGCCAGGGGCCCCTAGTAGCGTCCCACTCTAAGGTCCCGACAGGAGGGAGGGGTAGGGAGAGAAGAGAAGAAAGAAAAAGAAGAAAGGAAAGGAAAAGAAGGTGTTCCCAGCTACGACACAAGCGTGCAAGGACACACCAAGAGGAGAAGAGAAGGACTCCCAGCTATGATGAAAGCATCCAGGGACACCCAAAAGAAGAAGGAAGACGGAAGAGAGGAAAAAGAACCAAAACAGGTGTTCCCAGCTACGAGCAGGCGTCCAGGGACACACCAAGGAGAGGGGTATACCTGAGCGTTACATTCAGGAATACCCCGAAAAAGAGAAGAGAGAAGAAGGGGAGGGGAGGGGGGAGGAAGGGGACTAAGGTCCCGACAGGTTCCAACGAACCTCAAAAAAGCTTTGGTCGCTCTGACCACGTTGAGGCGTTAAGCCAGGTTGGACCGCTGCGGTCACGTAAAGGCATGAGCCAGCTTGGAATTCAAGAAATTCGTCAAAAAATCTGAGTACTACGCTCACTGTAGCAGGGGACACCTTCGACTAAAACCCGTGAGACGGGTCCACGGGGGGCACTCTGCGGGCTCACCCCGGGCTCTCACGAGGAGAGACACACTTATAGAAATGCGTACTGATGTGAATGCAGTGCCACACGCCAGCCTAAGAAGCCAAATCCTGAAAAGCCAGGTGAGGGGGCCTGAGCGCCTTTAGTTAAAGGCCAAAGTTCCAAAGCCAAGCAGGTACACCAGGTTGATCAGACCTGGCTTCCACCATCACGCATAGGCATAGCTTCGTTGGCATGCGTTTGCGTGATGGCCGCGTGCCCCCTGCTTAACCAAAATTAAAAACACAATCAGCACACTCCGAGTGGATCCCTGTGACTACAAGGGGCACACACACACACACACACTGGACGTGTGGCTTTTGGGTGTTTCGTCCCCACCATTCACCTGCGATGTATGTCGCCCGAAGAGCCGCTGCCGCTTTTCGGCTTTGGAGATTCGCCTCGGACGGGCGCGAGTTGGAGCTTCCTTGACCAAGCCAAACGTTGGGTGAACTGACAGCCGACCAGGTTAGGGATGGTGCACCATTGACTTAGCACCCAAAATAAATCCGAGGATCTCCAAGCTTTCTGAAGTCCATGGGCCCCAAATTGGAGGCCCTAAATTCGGAAGAATGAGTGCAAAGCCAGACACCTAGTCCTGAGTGGCGGAGGATTTTGCCCGGTCAAGAATGAGTCCCATGGTCTCTGGTGTCATGATGTTAAAAGGCAAAGACTGCACACTTACAGCCCTTGGGGGGGGAGAAGTCTCTCCGTTTCTCTCTGCCTCCGGTCAGGGCTTGTTGCAGCCGTGTTGCTGCAAGTCTGCGGTTCCAACAAAGCCCTGCAAACGGTGAAACGACAAAGGGTGGCGCAACAAACGAGGTGAGTCCTTGGAGGAAGATCTACAAGAAATGTGTGCCAGCAGAAACTTGCCTCTGCGTTGACCTTGATTGTGTAACTTTGATACCAGCTGCTACATGACAATACCGCGTCCTGTCACGGAGGGTGTTCAATTATTTGGTCGCAGTGTGCACACTGCCGGTTCCCAAGTTACGAACCCTTGTCAACTACCAGTATAATTTTAAGAGGGCCCGCATAAATTGACATGGCCGTCGCATAAAGGACTTGGGGTCCGTGTCAAATGGGGTCCCGAAAACGTGTCCCAAATGACCACCCAAACCTGTTTTGCTGTGGCCAGCCAGGTGTCACCATGTGTCACCCACATCGAGTGTAAGTCCGGAGTGCCCAGCCATCCCAACTGGCAACTCCGCGTGCAGCTCCTTCTCCCGCTTTCGCCGAGACGTTTGGCGATGTCTTTGTCGCGTCTGGAAGCGCTGCCGCCTGTGACAAAACACGTGGCAGGAAGCGCAAAGCATAGTACAAGGACAAACTTCGTGAAACATGTGCTCCATTGTTGGACACTTGTGGATCTCCCCAATGAGACGCCGCTCATACATTTTATGGTCGATGCTACATCTCGATCGTCACGATCAGAAACGCTCTTCTGCCCGCGCCCCGCCCCGCCTGCTACGCCCTATCCGCCGCGGAGCAGTGCGAAGCTTCCTTATCGTCCGATCCCAGAGCTAAGTGCCCCTGAACACCAAGTGATGAATGCAATGGATAACTAAGATGTCGTGGGTTTATGATGGTTTATGAATCTGTGAGTTCTCCTTTTAGTTTGGAAGAACCAGGGCAACCAGGGTTGCCCCATTTTACAATCCATATACAGTATCATATCATAATGAATTAAACAAACATGATAAACAGTAATCAGTAATAATACGAAGGTCTGTAGCACCCACTGAACTCACAACTCGAAGACACTCACGCCTACAGAAAACGACGCACTTTTGACGCCACCATGGGCTTATTGCCTTGCCTTTGCAAGGAAATGAAAGGAACACTGACCCAATGCGAGCGTTTTCACACGAGACTTGAGTTACCTAGCGCAAACAACGGGCCTGCCTTAAAACAAGGGTCAGGTCCGCAGAACTGTCCGGAGTCATTGGCTCGCGCAGAGCGCGCCGCTTTGCTCCGTTCCGCTACGTTCCGCTCCACTCGTTCCGCTCAGCTCAGACCGGAGCTCCATGAGAAGCTGGCCCAAACGGTTCAGGCCGGTCCCATCCTGCCCTGCGCCCCAGTACTTGTCAGGCTTCACACTGACCAATGGGTATGGATCAGTGGCCATCAGAAGCTTGTGGAGCTCCTCGTTGGCCAGGAACTTGCAACGCAAAGCCTCCAGCATGACTGTCTCCTCGAAGAGTCTGAGGCAAAAATCTGTCTTTTCTTCACCATTCTTGACACAATTACACGGTCTATACTTTTGATCTTCAGATTGCATTTGCAATGCGTAATTCCCTTCTCTTAAGCAGAACACATTTTGACCCTTCAGACTTCTTCAAAGAGCTCAGAATCTAGACTGCCAGTTTTTAGCAGCTGCGTCCTTGACATCCTCCCAGTCAGACCGACAACGCAATTTTCTTCCAGCCGCAAAGGCTTCTTCCGGAGTCATCACCGCAAAGGCATCCGCGAGCTTCTCAAAGCCTTCACTTCCCGGTGGTCCAGCCTTGCAGAGTTGGAAGAACTGCTCGGGCCCAGCAAAGTGGCGGCTGCCATATGGAAATCCAGCCTCCTGAAAGGCCCACATCGAGTGTACATTCTCAAACTCTGTGGCCCATCGATAGGGCCCAAATCTCTTCTCCGCTGCATTGATCCCATGATGGGAGAAACCCAGATCAGAAGCCACCTCGCGGTGTGGAACCCAACATGGGAGTGTCGACAAATATCCTCGCAACCTTTCCAGGCCGCGGCTCTCGATCACGCTGCTTTGTGCGGCAGAAAGGTAATACATGGGTTCATCCGCCATGCTATCAATTGTGAGTTTATGAGGAACTGTGTTCCTGGATGTTCCTGGTCTCTTCTATTGATCTGTTATTTGGGTTGAGTGGTGCTACCTGCTAGCTAGAAGATTGATCAAATGGGTCAGGTGGAAGAAACCCCAGATCGGAGCGCAGCTGTCAGTTGTTGCTCATGCCCTGCCAATTTGTATTTACTACAACTACTACAAACTTTCACGTTAACTCTGAATTCTGATTCTTTCAATCTTATTATGTTGGAATTGCACAGCTTCAGCGGGGTCTTCAGATCTCCTTGACCGTCTTGAGCGGCTTTTTGAAGGCGGTTCGACCAACAAGCCGCACAAGAGGTTCGACTGCAAATGCTTCGAGGTCTCCCTCTCTGTATTCTTGACCAAACAACCAAACAAAGAAGCCTGTCGCCTCAAACCTCAATTTTTTGAGCGTACAAGAAGCTACACGGACTGCTACACGGTTCTCTCAAGAAGGCATAATGGGTTCTCCACACCAAAAGCAATACTCATGATTGCATGATCATGTGCGGAATGCCAGATTTGCGTCTATTTTCTTGAAACACATTGCCGGCGCCCCACTAGAAGGTCGAAAGAAAAATGCCACTGGTCCCCCCGGATTTCCACTGGGTCCCTGACTGCTGGGTCCCCGACTGCTGAGACTCTTCGCGGGTCTGGAGGAGGCCCTCGTCCGGTGTAGCCATGTGAGATCAATGCAAACCAACACAAAAGGGTGTGTATTTTAAGAGGGAGACACCTAACCAATGGGTTTTGGTCTATTTCCTGAGACACACACCACACACACAAAATGTTGGGAATGGACACTCTAGACTTCTTTTCAGAGTTAACAACCAAATGAACAGCATTCTTTGTGCAAATTAGGTTCAAGGCTCGTAGACAGCAACTAGGTATCTCTAGCCTCTAGTCATCTTTTTTCATAGTAACATGACTCCCTGAGTTCAAGGTCAACATCTTTTCGCAGGGCTTTTGTCTTTGCGAAGGACAGTAACCTCGGCTTCTCTTGAGCGGGGAACATCATGAAACGTCAAACAAACCAAATGTCAATGCCAATGCCGTCTCTGCTAGAGAGCTTATATATATATATTATATATAATATATGCTACCCCCCCCCAGAACCTATATATATATATATAAAGGAACTTAAAAGAGGTGGTTCATCCAATCTCTGAACCCCTTCTGCACTCTGCCCGTCCAGAAAACCGGCCTGCGGACTCGGACTGCCTGAGACCTGCCCGCAGCTTTACACGTGTCGAACGGGATGAGACGTTGAGTCCATATGGGGACCTACTGACCGACATAGTCAGTTTTTCTGGAAGAAACCATGCTTCCAAAGCTGTTGGATCGCTTTCTTTTGCATGTTTGCATCTGGAGATGTTGAGAGGTTTTCCTCTTGGGTACGGTAGATGTGCTTTCTTTCGAGTAAATGTAAGAAATCCCGCGGTGAAGAAGGAACAACGTGGCAGATATCATTCATGACTATTCATACTATGCGGAGTTCTTCTCTCCGGAGGTAGAGTTGGGCTTAAATCCGATTCTTCGGAGGTTTTGCAACCACTGAAGCAAAAATCCCGGCCTGTTTTTAGCTCCCTCATCCCTATGTACCAATAACCTTTATCGGTTTTTAGGGCGTGTCAAACTGTGCCGGCCTCCTCCAAGTCGGGCTGGTTCACGGGCAATCGTTCTCCGTGGAGTAAATGTACACCTAAGACTCCCCATTGCACAAGAATCGTTTAGGGTCTATATATTGCACTCAATCGGCACTCTTTTGCGTCCAGTCACCCGAAGGTTTT